CCCCCAAGCACCAAGATGACAGAGCATCACTTGCCCCAGCCTGAGAGTCCCTATCTATACCTTGTGGCTAATTGCCACTGATGGACTTCTGCTCCACATGCTTATCATAAGAACATAGGAGAAGCCCCAGACCGAGAGTTCCTATAAGAACATAAGAGAAGCCAATGTTGGATCAGGCCAATGGCCCATCCAGTCCAACACTCTGTCACACAGTGGCCAAAAATACCAGGTGCCATCAGGAGGTCCAGCAGTGGGGCCAGGACACCAGGAGCCCTCCCACTGTTGCCCCCCCCCAGGCACCAAGAATGCAGAGCATCCCTTGCCCCTGACATAAGAACATAAGAGAAGCCAATGTTGGATCAGGCCAATGGCCCATCCAGTCCAACACTCTGTCACACAGTGGCCAAAAATACCAGGTGCCATCAGGAGGTCCAGCAGTGGGGCCAGGACACCAGAAGTCCTCCCACTGTTGCCTCCCCCCCCAGGCACCAAGAATGCAGAGCATCCCTTGCCCCAGCCTGAGAGTCCCTATGTATACCTTGTGGCTAATAGCCACTGATGGACCTCTGCTGGGGCCATTTCAAATTCTGGAAGTTCAGTAGCTCAAGGCAGAATCACGAGAAGAGGATTGGAGTTGAGTGTTGTGTCAAGGCTACCCATGCAGTAAATGGGTTTGGGCCCGAGTTCATGTCTCTTCTCAGTCATGACTCACTGGGTGGCTTTGGGACAGCCGCTGTATCTCAGGGTAGCCTACTTTATCCTGTGGTTGTGACAATAACTTTAAAGATGAGATTCTCTTTTTGAGGGGGGGGGTGCTCCTCTCTGTTGAGATGGAAACAGGAAGATATCAGTGAGCCAGTTTGGTGTAGTGGTTAGGAGCATGGACTCTAATCTGGGAGAACCCACTCCTCCACATGCAGCTGCTGGTGTGACCTTGAGTCACTCACAAGTTCTCTTAGAGCTGTTCTCTCAGGAGCAGTTCTCAAAAGAGCTCTCTCAGCCCCGCCTACCTCACAGGGTGTCTGTTGTGGG